CCTCATGTCCAGATTCCCAAAAACAAAATTTTGTTACTATCATGAAAATTAGTTTCTAAACTTTTTTATCATTAGAGCAGTATCTTTTTAAAAAAGTAATTATATATTCTGATAGAGCTTGAAATTCTCCATCATCGTGTACTTCTGAAACAAAAAACGAGATATGTAGTAAAAAAAGCTACTTCTTTTTAGAGCTTATCAAGGAGCATGCCGACATAATACTCGAGTTATTCTCTAGCACATAACTGCAAAATAGTTAACAAGTATACAGGATGATAGAGAATTTGAAGCTCTATCAGAATCTATGATTACTTTTTAAAAGTAAATTTTTCTATAAGAATAATAAATTTAAAAAGAGGACTCCAGAAGCAACCAAAATTTCACATTTTCGATACTTGTCATTTGACGGTATGTTTACTGTACTCAAATTTTCTTTTCGATAGATGAATATAAGGAAATAAGGAAATATACAGGGTGATAGAGAATTTCAAGCTCTATCAGAATATATAATTACTTTTTTAAAAAGATACTGCTCTAATAATAAAAAAGTTTAAAAACTAATTTTCATGATAGTAACAAAATTTTGTTTATGGGAATCTGGACATCAGGGTGCCTTCATTGTACTCGATTTATTTTTCTAATGACTAAGTACAAACTACAACATAAATATACAGAATTATAGAAAACTCCACGGGCTTTCAGAATATGCAATTGGTTTTAAAAAAATATGTTGCCATAGTGACAATATAAGTCAAATACGGACTAAAGCTATTTTTTTCCAGGCGTAAATATGATACAAGAGAATTAGTTCGAAACTCATGAATAAGATTTCTAGAAATGTAAGTCAAGAGTATTGAGAGAGAAATTTATTATTAAATTAGCGAATTAACCATCGTACGAATCTATAAAATATATGTGTCCATTCTTGACAACTAAGAATTTGATCAGAGTCAATCGAATTTTTCGTACAGGAAGACAACATATTCGAAAGCAAAGTTTATCACAAATTACTCTGCGATTGTTACATCTTCCATAGCATTCATCATGTATATTACAAGCATTTGTGAATTTCCAAGCATTACTTATTGGTTGAATAATAAAATTAAAAAATGCATTTTTTCCTTCACAGCCGTTGATCAAGGGTTTCATCATTTTATGGAATTGTGCACCATCAAGTCCACAATCACAAACATTATCGTCAGGATTTTTAATTTGTTCATGCATTCAAATTTATAATACCAAGCAGTGTCAATTTCACCAGCGCAATCTGGAAATACATTGACATGCAATGTACTTTCAGTATCGTTCAATGATATAGTAATCATTCCATTGGTACCAACACATTCAGTTGTAAAAACTTAATTGTCGATTCATATAGTAAACTTAAATTTGATTTTTAGCGACATTGATTTCATAAGAAAACTTCACAATTATGTCTGTTTGTTGCATTGTCTCCGTGCGCCACTTGCTTGAATGAAAAATGCATTTAGATTGTTCTGATTAATTATACTGTCATTATTAGTTATCCAAGTATCTTCTGTCAAATTAATTTGATTGTTAACATTCAAGGATACTGTTATTGATTCTTCTCCAGGAATGAAAGCTATGATTTCGAAATTGCTCAGTAGACTAAATAATCGAGATTGCAATGAAAAATGTGAAATATAATTGGATACTGTACGCAGAACATCTGAAATCTTAAGAGTTATTTCTGCAGCAATAAGCAAGCAAAATGCTTTGATTGAATCAGGAACTTTTAACCATATGTTTGAAATCGGATAGGCTTGTATCAATTTTATGCATGCATTACTTTGTTGAATAATTGTTGTACGTAGTTTTTTCGTATCAAAATAGTAGTCTATTATTGTGTCATTAGTAGGTAATGGTACATAATATCGTCCACCATCGATGTTCAACATTACCGAGCTTTTATTACCATGATTTGTATCAAAATAATTCAATTGTAAGGTGGCATCCTCAATCGATCGATTAACAATCTTATTATTCAAAGCAATTACGATATCGGTGGAAAAATCTGATATGATTCCATTTAATGGTAGTTCAAATACAAATGTCGGTAAATTAATATTAGGAGTATCGTAAGTGGCTGGTATTTGATATGAGTTATTCTGTGATATGACTAATACAACGTACTGATTGTTGGCATTGTTAGAATTAAAAACAAAAGTTTCATGCTTGAATTGTATTCGGACAATTTGACTTCTGTCGAATATGTAGATACCATTGTCGATTTGAATGGCATACATTCTTTGAATATTTCCAGAGTAGTCCTCTAGACCGAAGATACTAATACCGTTCAATTTTATAATTTGACTGTCTTTCACATTGGGAATAATTATAAAAGCAAGATTATTAAAAGATAGTATTTGCTTACCATTGTTTGAGTTGTTGTCCGGTTGATTGCTGATGATTTGTCAACGAAAAACTCAAAAACTATGAAGAAAATGTACATATTAGAAATATTCGAATAATGAAACGAAAGTATTATACAAACTTACAAGTTGTCTCGTCGAACTGAATTTGATGGAAACTCTGGTTGAGAACAATCGAAATGATAGGCTTTGTTAAAAGTTGAGGACATAATAATAGAAAGAAAATCGTCAATTGATGAGAATCTACAGAATTTTGTTCTACTTGATTGATAATCACATTATCTTCTTTTGCAAGACGACATGTGCGAAATATCTTCAAAATCATATATTTATCTAATTAGAAATTTACATACAAGACTAATACAGACTTGTATTTCATCTGCCATTCGACGCTGACCAGTGATCTTCATCAACTTGGTAATGGAATGAGTGACATCGATACGAACATTTTTCAATCTTGGATTCATGTTCAACTTGCTTTGAAGTTATATAGAAGTAGTTCAATATGATCCCAATCGATTTTGACAGAATAATTTGCTTACAATGAGCTGTAAAAGTTTGACTCGAGTGCTGCTCAATGTCCCTTGATACAGTGCTGGAGTCCTTCCATTGAGAGAAGGAGTGAGACTTCCTGTTTGACTATACGTAAGATCCCGTAATGAGTTTTGAAAATCTAAATCATATCACATGAACAAGTGAATTAGTCTCTTTGTACATTTGTTCGTACTAACGGCCAACTGTCGAAGTTTTTTTTTTGTGATGTAGAGTGGAATGAGTGAAAGTACAATGGTCATTAAAATCAGAAAAAATAGCAGACCGATAAATGTCGTAGAACCAAACAAGAAAACCAATTTGCCCCTGCAGTATTTAAAAAAATAATAGAAATGCAGTCAACAAAGTGTTTTATGTCAGAAAGAAGGAGAATGAGGAATCAGTGTCGAATCATTGTTGACTTTCATTTGCCGCATTGTGTAGTTCGTGAGTTGGGTGGCATTGTTCATTTGAGAAAAAAGTCTAGATGAAAATAAAGCAACACAAATTGATTTGTAATAATCAAACGCGAAATAAGGGTCTTTCAAATACGTGCTTACAAAAAAAATTATAGACATAAGATGAAAGACGACACAATCATCTTAATTTTTAATAGAGAAAAAAATAAAAATAACGACCAATTCTTACACATTTGTAATAGCACTGAACAAAAGCACTATACTAATTGCCTACGTTAATGACTTTCTCTTATTTTCAGTTATTAGAAAAAAAAAACATTAACTAATATCTGTTTGCTCATTCATCTGAAACAACTCTCCTTATATTATGACTTTTCCAATATTAACAGTACAGCTAAAAATAGAAGTAACGAATATACAATAATCTCATTAAATTCTGCATCTAATGATTTATGATTCAATACAATGATAAGAAAAAAATTCTGATAGTTTCGTATCCCACTACTCCCCCTACAGATGTAAAATTACAGATGAAAAATGAAAGTTGTTTTTGACAAAGAACAAATACCTAATTTTACTCAGAATTTATTGCTGATTCAGAGTATGTTATTTCTTTTTCAAAAAATAAAATGATTAATTCAACTTTCTATTTGATTTCTTCAACTTTTTTCTCATTAGAATAGCATAAAAAGATATTAGTTCTCTCTTTCCGAACACGAAAAACAAAAAAAGAGAAAATGTTTCAATTTTGATATCCTCATCAATTTACTATCTGTAAGCTCCTACTGATTATTGATACTAATTTGAAGTGATAAAATATATAGGTAGCATAATATCAATAAAATAATGATTAACAATACAATCCAAATTCAGCCGAAACGTTGTAATAAAACAAAAGTCAATTAGAAAACACATACAAATTATCATTATTATTATACTTTTGTATATGAAGATGGTAACAACGATAATTTCTGATAAGCGTCTAATGATATAAATCCACAAATGAGAAAATATTCATAATTCTAATTATATGAAAGAATTTTCCTTTTTTTTAACCATATCAAAATGATAAAATAGCCATGAAATATGAATTCGAATGACAACATATTGTCCAAACGTATTTATCCTTTTTGGAAGGTGGCAAGACGTTAAAGACAAAAACATAATAAATCAAATATTATATTCTAGTGTTTTATTTTTTTTACTAGTTTTTGTTAATAAACTATTTTATTTTAGTTTGATAGTTTTGTCATATGAAATTATTTCGAACATAAATTAATCTTGAAACAAGATTCATAGAAATCTTTGAATCATTACAAATAACTTCTTATACAAGAAAGAACGAGAATATAGCAAAACATAACATAATAGGGGATGATTCAAATATTTTCAAATGTTTTGAGTTAGTATTCTTTTAAATAGAAAATAAACTAAATAAATCAGTTAAATATGAATATAGTCTTGAAATAATTAAAAATTATGCTACTTGAACAGATAGTTATTTTCTCGAGCATTAATAGCACTTTTCAGAATGAAAAAAATAAAAATAAATTTATGGAATGCAATCGTATTTGAATAACTATTGTACTTTGGTGTGAAATTCAGGATAAAAACTTGATTTTTTCAGTTTCGATGTTTTTAAGTTAAATTCTTGGGACAGTTCTCCATTAGTAATCTGAATTAAAGATGCTGAACAACATTATTAATAAAGATTAAAAGGTTCTAGAACATTTCAGAACTTTTCTTGAAATTTTAATGATTCGAATAGATTTTTTAGTATTCGAAATAACGCAGTTTCTGAGTTTTCTGCAGATAAATAATTAATAAATTCAAAGAAAAAGTTTTCTTGGATTTTCTATAGAATATTGAAATATCTTCGTCACTACTTTTGGTATCTTTTAAGTAAATTTTGCTTCGATACTATGAATTAAGTGCATAACTGAAGCAACATTTAGATATGACAACTAGTGACAACTAATTAATTTGCTATAAAAATAGACCAATAAAACTCTTTTACCTTTGACAAACGACGATGTCGATCAACTTATTTCTATCTAACATTGTTTGATACTTTAATCATAAATTTAAAACAAAAAAAAACAATATTTAATATGGAAATTATTTATGCAGTTGATGTCAAGATGACAAATGATGGTGAAGAATTTGAACGTATATTAGCAATGGATATATCTTGTATGAATATTCTTGCTTGTTCAACTTATTATCTATTATCATCAAGTAAACTTAAATATAGTCCATATCTTGTTTCAACGTATAGTCTCTTGTTTTTTTGAAAACTAATTCTTATTGTTTTTGTATTATAAAGACCTTTACAACAATCAGCAAAATCTTCCTTTTGTGTTTATGTTTGTGCACTTGAACAACCATGGCATTTTGGTTTAATAGCAACATCAATTGTACCTATTGTTCATCTTGCTTGGAGTCTTGATGGTACACATTTACTTGTTTGTAATCAAACAGGACTTTGTCGAATATTTAAAATGAAGGTAAATTAATATTTTTATAATTACTTATCGGCTTGTTTAGTTGTCGTTATTATCTAATTGTATTTTTATTTAGAATGGTTGTATTAATACAATGGATAATATTTATCAATATGAAACAAATGAAGATATTCTTATTGCAAAATATATTTTTCATAAAGAACCAGTAAGAATTCTTAATACAAAACAAATTCATTATTATTATTTTGTAATTTTTCTTGTTTTAGATAGTGATTAATCCTGATAGAAAAGATTCGTTATTTTATGGAAAAGAAGACGGTCAATCACCAATGTTACCATATGCACTAAATACAGGCAATTTTGTATGTGTAACAACATCAGGAACGGTAAGTTTAAATTTCATTTAATAATTATGATCTAAATATGTACACACTTATCCAATAAAGAAGGATCATGCTTACCTAAAATTGAATAGAAGATTTCTCGAATACAAACGATCGAACTTATTCACTGAAAATGTGTCTTTGCTAGCTTTTCGTTTATTCGACATCGATAGATGTCATTTATTTTGAATAATGGCGAAAATAAAGGCCATATTGTCTTTTATCAATAGCCACCACAGTTGAAAAGATATATTGTTCGATACGTATCCATAAGGTACTGTGTTCAAACTTCAGTATCATCAAACGTGAAATGATTCTGGACAACTTACTGATGACTGTTTGTCTCGAATCATCAGTCCTATAGTGGGTTGATTACATAGCTAGTCAGTTTCCAGAGAAAAATTCAACATAGAAGTCGCGATATCATGACTGTTGTACTGATCGCAAGTTCATGCAAAGTAGAAGCGATGCAGATATCGGTGTCTGTAAAAAGAAAAACAAAGGATGAAAGATCCCTACCGCATATGGATCCAAGTAGTAGTTGTCTACAACGAATAATAAGCCTAAGGGAAACATTATATTTATCATAATTGAATGTACTGAGAAATGTCGAAAAGTTTGAACACGGCAAGGGTAAAATTTTAGTAGAGTTGATGTTGTAAAAATGGTTGAATGAAAATTGGCCGACTTGACAAATAATCAAAGAGTATGAGGCGCAAGTGTGAATTAAATTAATAGCA